GATTGATATGAAAAAATTTAGAAATGATTTAAAAAAGGTCTCCATTTTGTCGCAGGACTTATTTGCCAACCTAATAGTTCTGTATACTGTCATTCTACCATTCTACGGAAATGGCGTTCCTCACACGATGTCACAAGGTGAGTGCTTTGTGGGTGTCAAACGGAAAGACAGCAGAATTAGACAGAATGTTTACTAGAATTCTGAAGTTGGATACACCCTCGTGCCCAGCTTTCCATATCCTTAGACGCATAAGTTGTTCGACGGAGGTGAGAAGTCAGTTAATGCTAGTGGTTACAAAATTGGAATTATCATCAGCTGTGTAGGAGAATAACGGACCGTATTTCCTGGTTTCTCAACAAAACTGTTGGTCAACTACTCCGACACGTATCCTCACATCTGCCTAACGCCAGTGAATTTTTAGATCGCCTGCGCTCTTGTAGACTACAAGAAAACTGCGTAGTAGAATCATTCGATAAAACTGCGCATCATACGAACAGCAACAACTACGCAGCTCTTCAAGCGGTTTCGAAATGCTGGACGAGCATGGAACAGAAATTGTGTGACGTTCGGATTGAACAAGGTTCACATTATGGCTCTGATCAATGAATGCCTTGTTTGCAATATTTTCAAGTGGAGCGGGCAGTGCTTCCAACAAAAGCGAGGACTTGCTATGGGTCTATCACCGGTCTTAGCTCTCTGTTTTGCGAACAGGATAGAAAGGCTAGTTATAGCGGGCATGCCCATTATGTACTGTCGACACATCGATGACTACTGCGTAAACATCAACGGAGCAAGAGATGGATGTATTGTTTAACTTTCTCGACCCACAGTCACAGTATATCAGGTTCACGAGAAAAGTTCCGCACGGAGGCTGGCTTCCTTATCTGAACACGCAGAAAAAAAAATCACGGATGGACATGTGAAGTGGTATCGGGAGAATAGCCAGAAACCCGACAATGCATTCGTTGCTCGAGTGGATCTGGCTAATGTTGTCCTGGTGAATCTACCAACGGACAATATCACACGTCAACTTATCCCCCAACAGACTTTATGATCGTGCATGTTCTACGAATAACTGCGTTGTTTGTCCGTTTGGAAAAGAACGGGATTGCACACAGCGAGTGCCACTGTAGCAGCTTCAGGGTTCAGCCTGTGTCGAAATAAATATATATTGGTGAGACGAGAAGGAGAAAGAGAAGGAGAAGGCATACTGTCAAAGAACAGCAAGCAGGTAGAGACGTGGAAGCCTCTTTACGCTATTTGGGAAGCATCGACTAAAGTACATCGAACAATTATTTTGATGTTGAATGCAAAATCTTAGCCTACGAGAATGAGATTGGTGCTCGAATGATCTTGGAAGCGTTCCACATCCAGGAGAGAAATCCTGAGCCGAACAACCGAAATGAGTGCATTCTGCCATTCTTTTCGTGTGCTTTGAGAACACCGCGCAACTCTTATCCAACGACCGTCAATGGTGTCTCATTGGTTCCTTGTTGTCCACAAAGTTGAGTGGGACGACAAGTGGTAGAATTGCACAAGGTTTCCTCAGTTGGGATCCTTTCGTGTTCAATTTCCTGGGCTAGCGGGTATGGCGCTTGGTCGGGTAAGCCACAGATCAGGAGCTCCGAACGGCTTTTAGGCCCTGAAGACAACGATTTCTTCGAAACGGTGACCAAATAAAGTGGTTCCTTCCATTAGTAACCTACAGGGCAGAACAGTATGAAACTTTATCCTTTCATTTATTCATTTCTTATTGGCATTCTCCAAGTACTCTAGGACACTGCTACAGAGCCCAAGGGGACGGAAGAGGTTGGAAACATGTTGTCTGCAAAATTCTGCAGAATTCGGGAATGGCTCCCTGTGGCCTTCCTCACTGCACTGTCACTTCCTCCAAGATGCATTAAAATATCAGGAAAATTGTTCCCAAATCGAAAATTTTTGTGTTTATATGTGTGTATGTATGTAGGCGTGTACGNGTGTATTTGTATGCGTGTATGTGTGTACGTTTGTATGCGTTTAAATGTGCATATGTGTGTAAATGAGTGTATATGTATGTGAGTATGGGCTATATGAGTGTAAATGTGTGTATATGTGTGTATGTGTGTATATACGTGCATATGTGTGTATATTTGTATGTATATATATGCATGTGAATGTGTATGTGTATGTGTATCTATGGGTCGGTATGTGTATGTATATTTATGTGTATATGTGTGTGTGCATGTGTGTATGTATGTGTGTATGCGTGTATGCATGTGTATGTGGGTGTCTGTGTGTGTATGTGTGCGTGTGGACCCCTTCAATGGCATCCCTGTAACGTAATCTCGAAACCCTACGGTGAATTTGGAGGGGCCAAATTTGCAGTTGCGCTTGATGAGCATGAATGAACCTGAATAATAGCTAGTGTTTTGGATTTTGCACATAATACGTGACCGCAAATTTGGCCTACACCCATGCATAAGCCGTATAGCCGATATTAGAGGTGACAATGATTCACGGAATTTTTTAGGTAAACGATTTCAACTGCAAGTCGTTCATGTACAACAACAGGACCCGTACGTGTATTCTGTCTGACGAGAGATCAAAACCGCTAGGACGCGGCACGCTCATCAATACCGACGGATTCAATTATTATGAGAAGAAATGTTTTGCATGTAAGCCTAGTTATTGATTCATTCTCATCTTATACTGGTTGGATCTCACGACTGACGCCGGACACTCCTCTTTCTTGTGTTGAAGTTAACCCGCTGCTGCATTTTCCCAAGTTAAAAACCTCTGGTCCAAAAGAACAGGAGCCGTCGATTTTCAGCGAAACACACACATCGAAGTACTTCGTATACGCTCTGCCCGTCATGAACGAAGTGCTGCTCAAATACTGTGTTCGAGTCACGTGGTTCATAACCTTCTCATCCCGCCTTGACTGCGTGTTTTAACTAAAATTACGCTCATTTCACCCATGATCTGCTTTTCTATAATCCCTACGCCCCGTGAACGGGATCCAGTTTTCTCCTACTCAATTTTTACAAGTAGTATCATGCAATGACATGACCTTGGCCATTGATTGGTGGTGATCGTAATCCATAATTATCTGAACGAGGTGTNACACCTCGTTCAGATAATTATGGATTACGATCACCACCAATCAATGGCCAAGGTCATGTCATTGCATGATACTACTTGTAAGCAGCCAGTGAACGCAGTTCTAGTCGTCTTCCATCACCACTTTCGTGTTTCGTCGAGGGCGACGTGGACGCTTTGGTGGCTATTCAATAGGTCGATCAATTGACCCCCTTACCTTCTTCTCCTAATCAGTAATCTATCTATAAGATTGCGGGCTCAGCCTACGATGACCTTGGGGTATCTAGTTAAAGACGATTATGGACATGGAAGTCCATAACAGAGCAAAAGTGGTGAAGAAAACGCGAAAATGGGCGTGTTTAGAGAATAGTAAGGCTTCGAAGAAATAAAAAAATTAGGAGTTGGACTAGGATGTGACGACAGAAGTTGCACGAAAGTGGTACTTGGACGAGCTCCTCGAACAAGTGTGTACAGCGTACAGCTAGCGGCAGTAAGCTGCCTGAGTGCAACGTGTGCGTTCCGGTGCCAATTTTGTAATCTATACGGGCCCAATCCTGAAAACTCACCTGCCTAGGATATGTACGTCGGCTGGGTGAGGGTGTATCCTCGCATCCGGGGACACGCGCGGCAAAATGCGCTGCGAAATTCGTGGTGATTTTGATGGTTACGTCGCCTATCATTGGGCCTTAGGTTTAAAGTATAGGAAATTAAGAGGATCAGCTGATCCCGCTAGTCTGCTCTACTTCAAATTTTGGGCCCATCAAAGGCGCTGGCTGAGTCGTTCAAATCGCCACGGATTTCGCATCGCATTTTGCCGCGCGCATTTGCGGAAGCACGATTGTTCCCTCCCCCACGTCGGCTGAACAGATTTTGGGCTCTTCATAGATCTAATCAAGCCCGTTATTCGACAAGACAGCGTCCCTTGCGCTATTCTTTCCACGGAAGGATCTCAAGTCGAAGTGGCCGTTTGAATTCTAACTTATTCTGGTCAACATGTTTTCGGATGCTGATCTCGAATCTGTTTCCCAAATTTGCCAAACGATTCTCTTAATGGAGTCATAAGGGTGATTTCAGATGGGCTCAGCATAAGCAAGCATAAATTAAATGGATATACGAGGCTTCTCAACGGTGGCATGGAGCATTGGTAAGGTTGACGCTGCATGTATAAGGTGGTTCGGGTTTCGAGAAGGCGAGATTTTTGCACCGCATGGGATTTTTTCCTTGCACCCTAGCAATTCTTTTAATGTTGACTTTTATCGCGTTCTACGAACTTTCGACGCTCTCAATAGCATCTTTCTCGCCTAAAAAATGCAATATCGCTTCAATTTTTTACATGTCCGTGCACACTCTCTCCACAGCGGATCGAAAGCGCTGTGGCGGCAGGTGGCACACTACAACATGTGGATGCTCAGTGATCGGAGCCCGCATCGAATATCATCCAAGCTGCTCAAGGCCTCCGTCGCTCTGGGCTCGGTCATTTGGAACTACATTCGTCTGGGTGGATAAAAGCACTGACTTGTACATTGCTGGTCACGGGATGTCATTGTATAAGCCACCCAAACATTCTAAACGCCACTCTGAATGAAATTGGAATGCGAGGCGTTTAGCAGAGGCCGAATCGATCAACGCCAAACGCCGTGAAATTTTCTATAAAATATATTTAGAACGGGATTTTTGAGCAATATGCTCCGCACTCATTGGTCCCAAAAGGCTCGAAGAAAGGAGCAGAGGTAGTGCGCTTTATCTCTGCAATACCAAATCTTTCATCCTTATGCCTTGCCTTTTCATTGATGGGCACCTGAATCACGAGCGCTTCGTGGTTCTAGAAGGAGAACGTTCGTTATGCGCATCCGTCGAAAGTAGGTTAACCCGCTCACTTGCCGCGCGGCGTACCCCTTTGAGGTCTCGAGATGACGTTACAGTACCATCAAGGGTCAGTGAAGCGAATAGTTTGCATTTGTCGGTGTTATCTTCTCTTTGACTGACTGCCGTGGACCAAACGCAAATGGTATGCCCCACTGACACTGACAGCTGCGACATCCGTCAAGTATCGCGGGCTGCCCGCCCATGCGACGGGTGCGGCGTGACCTAGTTTCGACGGACGCGCCAACGAAGCGCACCCGGTTCTAGAATGCGTACGATCATGCGTGGTGGCACCGAACTTTCTAAGTATAACATTACTGGTAGTGGACTCGTGAACTTCGTCCAGAACCATAAAGCTATTTAGTCCGTTAACCTCCATAAAGGCAGGTGAAATTAATAAACATCCCTGCGTGCACCATGAGACTTATTAAGCCCTTCACAGTTGTTAATTTCTTGTTGCCATTCAACAATATGACCTCACCCCATACGTGATATCTTCTGCTCCCAACTTTTATGCATACACTCGTGATTTTGAGAGAAAGACTTTGTTACAAACATATCATCACCACATATGTATGTAAAGCTATAAAAGTCTTCTAGTGTGAATGTAGCGTTCTGACAGCAAAACAATCGTAGCGTTTCAAGTGAAGAAGATGTCATTGAAAGCGCCAAAAGTTTCTTACATTTTTAAACCAAAAGAAAAGGGATTTCTACGGTGCAAGGAAAAAAANNNCCCCCCCCCCCCCCCCACAAAACCATAGTCTCTTCGAGTTATCGAGTTGTGGGCTGTGGCTTGAACGGGTATTCAACAAGCAACACGATGTCTCTGCCGCTGTCCCTTTCGTATACGTCTAGCCGTCCCAACAACAATGGCAGCTAAACTTACTCCCCAAAAAATTGGCGGACGAGTTGTGCGCGACACCTATTCAATTATTGCGATGCGGCAACTATTCAACTTTCGAATCAAGCAGTCGTTGCAAGGCCATGGGCAACTATTCCTTCAACACAATTCATGCTATTCATTTCCACTCAGGTAGAAATCGGTAGCAGTCTGTCATTGAGTACAAACAGCAACGTTTATTATTCGGTTAATCTTGCGTTTCATTTTATTCGATTTCCAAGCGAGACCGACATCAGGGGGTGCTCTCAGAGTTCAACAAAGAGCCGTCCGACGACGTTATTGGCCAAGCGTTGACAATGCAGGACAGACTGCGTTCAAGGAGGCATGAGCGGTAGCGGTATAGAACGCGATTTGTCCTGTATTGTTAACCCTTGGCCAGCTACGCTATCGGTCGGTCGCTCGGTCGGCACTCGTTGAACTCTGAAAGCGCACAAACGGGCGGAAGAGCTACTATAGAACATTGAGCGCTAGAGAAGGGCTGACCGATTTCGCGTCGCGAATGGTTCTCGAATGATGTCAAGTAGGTATGGGTTTTCTTAACTAAGCCACAGGACTAAGGAGAGAAGGAGAATCGGTGTGGGTCCCGTTGAGTATAGGTATATACAATTCTTATCCAATCGCGGCTTTCGGCACGAGATAATCATCTCACCCACCCGGTGCCCCTTCCTTCTTCAAGTATTCGTAAAATATTGGATAGGAACGGTGACCCCTACAACGACATTTTTATCAGGGTTAGTGATCTCACTGCTGTTCAGCCATCCTTATTGGCTCATTGCAGCTATTTTTAGACGAAATAGTCAAGAAACGGGGCTGACTGGTTGTTGAGCGATGACCCTTGATGTTACCACCCACGGATTGGATAAGAAACAGAAGCATCTTCAAGAGCACAATTCGAAAACTAGTTCGAATATGGGGAAAAATAGAATTGGAATTAGGAAAGAGGAACAACTTAAATAAGAAAAAGAGAGCTAACCCCTGCCCATCATTACTACTCAACCCTACTCGAACGATACCTTCTTACCTTTGTTGCTTCTCTATTCACCGAGGTAACTCTAATGAGATTTCACTTAAATGATTTCTAATCCCGAACACGACAATTCTTGTTAGACCTTACTGTTCATTATTCAGTTTTTAATACAGGTTTTTATTTTTTGAATCCTCACCATCATCTTTCCCATGGACACTATGATGATTTACTCTTCGTTGACATGGCAAGCCTTCATCAAAATCCCGACTATGTTTTCATACAAATCGCAAAGCATTCCATCACTCCTTAACTCAATGCGTTCGCAGAGGATGGGTAGAAAGATGCTTGGCTAAATAGCACCGGGCAAGATAGCATTGATCGAGGAGGTAGCCCTCCTTGATCCCGCAACGAACAGCTCGATTCAAAAGCTATAATAGTTGTCACGATGATTGGATAGGTGTCGCGCGCAACTCGTTCGCCAGTTTACGGGGTCGATTTAACTGCGAGTCCCGACAATCACCCCTTGTGTACTTGTCAATATTCTCTATTCGATGCATAGTATACGTCACGGGTTGGGAAATTGGATATTCGAATAAAGTCATGCCGTGGAATGAAATATATTGTACATAAAATTCTTCGACCACTGCATTTTGTACCACCATAAGTCACACTAAGAACCGGATTTCTGAACCGAATTTTCGTTTCTGTGGCAAGATATGATTCATCTGAGGCATTTTTATGAGTGAACGGGGAAACTGATGAATTTGCATGCTCCTCTAGACACTCAGACTCAGATGACGTTCATTAGAATATCCAATGTAAATTCAGCGAGAACCAGGCGACCATTAGCTAGGGAACGGGTTTTTAGAGGGTTAATGTGCTTTAGAAGCTTAGAAAGGAGACTAATAACAATCTCACTGGGTGCTTCTATAGTGCAACGATCGACCGGCCGGAGGTGTTGCTGGTTACGTGTTGACAACACTGGACAGTTTGTGTTCAGGGCCGCGTCATGAATCAAGGAGTGAACCTTCCCCTTCAAAACGCGTGATCGGGTGCGGCGAACGCGACGCCGTTTTCGGGGAGAAGATACCGTCCCCGAGTCATGAGCGCGTTTTCCATCAGCGTCCAGTGTTTTCAAGAAATGGCTAGCGCCGCCGACGGCCGGCACGTGCGCGCGCTCGCGCGCTTCCGGGCCGGACGGCGGACTCTGAAAGCAGCCAAATCGGTCGGTCGGTGGTTGCACGCAGAAACTGCCCTGAGGACTAAAGCGGAGTCCTAGATAGATGTCATATTCTTAGACTTTTTGAATCGATATTTATTTACAAGTTAAGGTTTGAGAAAACTTGGGCTACCAGAGCTAACCACCACTTCAGGAGCTTCAAATCTTTAGTTATTTATGTTTGTCGAGTCATACGTCGGCTGTCTCGAGCTGAATCATGACTCGACATAGCTGACGTATAACTCGACAAGTTGAATAATTACCTCCTTTCGGAATATTGCTATCCCTGAAAATTACACAGATTTCTTTCTAACCACTGCTAGTCAAAAGGTTGAATAATCAATTACTGATTTTTTGACTACCAGTGGTTTGGAGGCAACATCACGATATTCCGGAAGGACTACATCTCGTGGTCTCGCAACATGCCCTTCCCATGAAATATACTTAAGCCGGTCTCTTATAATCTGAGGTCTACATTGGCACCTACTACCTCTGTTATTTTCTTTTTATTGGGGGACCCCAACAGCAGTTCAAGCCATCATTCGAATCAACGTTAAGAAGACGATTGGTTATGCTTATGAAAGCAGATCAAGCGCATTTGCCACTTATGGTAGTATCTGTGAGAGGTCTCTCATTTTGTCATCATGGGTTTGTGTCCCACAAGTTCGGTGCCGAATTGTCAAAAAAAGGCCTACCGAAGGTATACTACCAAAATTGGAAACTAGATTATCTTTAGATTATTCCTGTCATCATCGGACTCAAGCTGAAGCTTTTTATTCCATGATTGCCATGAGAAGTCCCTAATGTTAATCTTATACCGGTATATAAATTTTCAAAAATAACTTACCCATTGAATATTTTCAGCCCCGAACACATGCCGCAATATTCCATCGTTCACTCGTGTTCCACAGATGATTCTCGTTGGTTTTGCCGCTTTCGTAATGGAAAATGTACCATCGGTGACGATGTGTCTTGATCAATGCACCAAGTACGTGCCATTGCCATCTACAAATTCATATTACACGGGTAATTTAACAGTTATCCGAGAATCGCTCCGCAATCCGTTATTAAATCAGGATACAGCTGAGGCAAAGACAGCTTGTCTTCAACTAGGTACAAATTATCACACACTCCTCAGGAAGATATCAAGTCACACACTCCTCAGGAAGATATCAAGTCGCATATTTTTGCAGTTGCATATTTTTCTAAATACTTCGAACGTTTGTTTTGAAAAGTAACTACCTCTTTTCGAATAGATTTATATTAATTGTTACCTAACATCGTCGCCGAAATCCATGCATCCAGATTCAGTTCAATAGTATGCTAATTTGAGAACGTACTAAGCTATTCATGATGGAAACAGATGTAAAAGCCCCTCGCTCTTTTCAGCCCACCACCAGAGACTGGAGACAATTTTGAGTGCAAGTCCGTGATGTACTACTACAACGAGCAGGAGTGCATTCTGAACGCCGAGACCCGTCATACGAAACCCGACCTCTTTATTCCCGAGGGCGACGAGTTCCAAGTTAGCTAACGCTTCAAATTCGATTTTATTTATTCAAATTTCACAGTTTCTATGCTCATACTCGAGATCAGCTCTTTAATGAGAGTCAAGAGAAATCGAAAAAATCGGACATTTCTCTAGGTTGACTACTTCGATATCTCGTGCCACCTGAAATCTGAGAAGTGCCCAGTCGGAACTCACCTAAAGGTAGTTACCACAGATTCACAGTTCGATCCATACAGCATGGGGTTTTGGGCGTAAAGTACCAAAGCTACAAAGTTTGTTTGAAAAATTATAATCGATCCGACCCTGGTAAGCGCGCGCACTACAACTGCGGCTTCTTTGAGAGACACAATTCCCGATCTCTAACAAATCGAGGCACTTATTCCTTTTTCTAGGCTGTGCGCACCGTCAACGCTGCCCTGCCAGAGGGTGAAGGAGATCTGCATGTGCTGAAGGCAGCCGCGAAAGGCGTCAAGGAGTGCATGAAAAAGTTGGTGGATATCCAGTACTTGCAATACGCGGGAGTTGCACGGATTTTGATTTAAATTGTAACCCTATAATAATAACGTAGCTTTAACGAGACGCTTCTATTTGTGAAAAGCTGCACCAACGAGTGAAAAGTATTCAGGCAGCCCTGAGAAACTTTCTTTGAAAACCAAGAAGCATTACTCTTTCTAATTCTCGTTTTNTTTTAGATGCTTCGGAACAGCACCAGAAAAATGCCGCTCTTTCAATTACGATAAACAGGCTGGCACTTGCAGTCTTCTTTATCTAGACAGTATGTCCACTCTTCGACCCCAAATTCGACAAGGAACCGATCTCTACGATCTGCACTGTCTAGCAGGTACGATCAGTATCCATTTTAAACAACTCCATTACTGTCCCCATCCACCATTTGCTGAACATCAATTAATCGAGCACTCGCACATTTCTCCTAGGCGTACCTAAAAAACACTGAACCCATCAGAAAATTGTAATATGTAAGATGGCCGCACACGATTACTTTCACTCGCACTCATCGATGTGCGAGAGCGGCGGCCAGTCAAACAGAAAATTCAACAGACATGCCTCTAGTGGAAGGAGATTGCTCGATCAACAAAGACGACGCGTTATTTTCACGATACCTGCACACTAAGCAACGTGGTATCGCCAGCAAAACGTACAAGGTCGTTTCGCTCAACTCCTGCCTCGAAGTGTGCGCTGGAAATCCTACGTGAGTCATTTTAGCATTTACTTCTTCACAGAAATCGCTTTCGACGTGGCCAAGAAGGGTCCATTATATGACGCAGGAATGGCATGGTTGGTGACTGCTAGTAAGCAACGCGGGCAGTCTCGATCGTGCTGTTGCTGATAGATAGACCTCCAAAATCGCAACTCCACAGCTCATGTGGCAGCTTAGTAGCCATACCCTCTACTAACTGTGACATTTTTCACCATTGTGTTCCAATGAATATCATATTTACTGATTATGTAAATCCAGAACGGTTTTTTTTTCATCATCGATAAAAGATAGGAGAGCCAACAGTTCAGAAATTGAAAGGTGAAAAATGTCAAAGTTCAAAATTCATAGAAACTCGAATGTATTCATAGTCCATAATACTCTATACTATGTACCTGCTTACGCGACCTAGCATGCCACGGCCGCCTTGCGATCGACTAGGCACTGTTAACAGTGTATTCAAGCTTGTCGTGCCTGCAGTATGAGGCTAAGCACTCTATTCCGAAAGAAGTACTGCCCGTCAGCGAAGTTCAAGGCTTTCATTCCTTATAATAGCGTTTACAGCTGCGCTGGAGTAAATTACAATCGCCGCGTTGGTCAGTGCGACCTTTTCGACGCGATTGATGGAGAGGCAGACCTCAACGAACACGTCGACTTCTACAAAAACCTCTGCGTCATCAAGGTGAATAACAACGAATATAAAGCGCACTGGAAACGAGAACGATCCACGCCATCTCACGCTTCGCCTCCTAATGCAGGTCATGGCTTGATACATTAGGAGGCGAAGCGTGAGATGGCGTGGATCGTAAACGTATGAGCAACACACATAAAATCCTTAACGTCGAGTTCTAGGAAACCGACAGTGGGGTGTCAGCGGCTGCTAATGTACCGGCACAGACTCATCGTATGTCCGGCACTGTCACGAGCAAGAAGAAAGATTCACGTGGAGAGCTTCTTGCGACAAAGAAGGTGGTTTATATTTCCTTCAAACAGCTACGCAATAAATTCATTTCCCTATCCATACTTCCGAACAAAAAACATTTCTAGGTGAAGCCCTCGATTCGTGAACATGAACACCACCGACGCAAGCCTGAAGCTACTCTGCCTATTGGACCACCAGTTTCCATTCCACCTGATGCGATCCGCACTATTTGCAACTATGAGGGCATCAAGGCTAGCAAATTTTCAATGGAATTGTAATGAGAGCCAATACACACATCCTTCTTCTACTTGTCTAAGTGAAAAGGGTGTATGTCGTTTGGCGCGATGGGCGGGGTCGCGCCGCCTATTTGAGGCGGTGCGACTCCGCCCATCGCGCCGTTCAACTCGTTCAGATCGCGTAATCTTCCGCTCTCCTCTTGTCTATAGATGATAGAAGCCCTATCCATCATCTATAGAGAGAGGAGAACAGAAGATTACGCGATCTGAACGAGTTGAACGGCGCGTTGGGCGGAGTCGCGCCGCCTCAAA